ACTGAAGTAACGTCTTCTGCATAGCTACGGGAATAAAACATTTTTACATATCCTTACCCAGTGTGCGTGGACATAAAGACATAATGGGGGGGGGGGGGGGGTAAATATTAATTACCCCCCCCCCCCCCACACACACACACACGCCCTCGGCATTCCCCCCCCCCCCCCCCCCCCCACACTCCACATACACACCACAACCAGGCACGATCAAACCCATGCGTGCATCAAATGCACATTATGCTACTTCAAATCCAGAATGTCACCAGGGGAGAAGGTAGGCGTACATCATTCTGGTGCACTACAACAATAGTATGCACACTCTCCCAGTAGTCTACAATAGTATGTCCACTCTCCCAGTAGTCTACAATAGTATGTCCACTCTCCCAGTAGTCTACAATAGTATGCCCACTCTCCCAGTAGTCTACAATAGTATGCCCACTCTCCCAGTAGGCAGTCAAACCTGTGCTAGCAACAGCACCACCAGCACCGCCACCAATACCAGCACTGCCACCAGCACCACCATGACCGCCACCAGCACCAGCACTACCACTAGCACTACCACTACCACCAGCACCAGCACCAGCACTAGCACTAGCACTACCACTAGCACTACCACTACCACCAGCACTACCACCAGCAGCACCAGCACCAGCACTACCACCAGCACCATCACTACCACCAGCAGCACCAGCACCAGCACTAGCACCAGCACTAGCACTACCACCAGCAGCACCAGCACCAGCACTACCACTACCACCAGCACTACCACCAGCAGCACCAGCACCAGCACTACCACCAGCACCATCACTACCACCAGCAGCACCAGCACCAGCACTAGCACCAGCACTAGCACTACCACCAGCAGCACCAGCACCAGCACTACCACTAGCACTACCACTACCACCAGCAGCACCAGCACCAGCACTAGCACCAGCACCAGCACTACCACCAGCAGCACCAGCACCAGCACTACCACTAGCACTACCACTACCACCAGCAGCACCAGCACCAGCACTACCACTAGCACTACCACTACCACCAGCAGCACCAGCACCAGCACTACCACTAGCACTACCACCAGCACCATCACTACCAGCAGCACCATCACTACCAGCAGCACCATCACCACCAGCACCAATACCAGCAACACCCAGAATGCATACCCGCATTGGTCTCCCCAGACAGGTGGTCTTGCCACACAGGTGTTGCTGTTGAAGCAAGGCGTGGGGCTGGCGATGATCAGTCTCCCCAGACAGGTTTCGTCTCATAAACAAATTTCACCGTTCGCGCCAGACTCGTCTAAAGACTGAGTTTTCGGCATGCGACGGAACGCCCCCACCGCCCAGGATCAATTCGTCTCATGGCAGGATCACAGATGACGAGTTTCTGAATACAGCACAGCACTGTACCTGTTTCTGGATGTTGTCCCGCAGGATTGGCTTGGGAGCAGTCACGCCCAGAGCTGGTGTGGCTGGACGACGCATCTTGATCATTTCCTCGAGGCGATTGAAGAGATGCGACTCGGAGCCGCCGCTGTACGAGGCGCCTGCGAACAATTGTGGATTCTGAAAACGGGAGTTGTCGTCATCATCTTCGCTGTCGTCGTCCTCCTCGTCCGAGTGTTTCCCCTCATGGCTCTCGCTGCTGTAGTGGATCAAGGCGGAGGCATGCTTGACGGACAAGTAGCCATCTTGCTCCACCGGCAGCGCAGCGCTCTCTGCCAGCTTTCGACCGCGATTACTCAGTTTAACTCTGTACAGAGAAGAAAAAAAAGAGAAAAGAATCTTCATAATAATAGCTATGAAAAGTATGAATGCCGCAGACATCACCACGCAACATGACAATTTGTTCAAGGTTTGGTTTTGTGTGTTTCCGAGGATACAGATGACGACGAGGCGGATGACGGCGAGGATACAGATGACGACGAGGCGGGTGATGACGAGGCGGCGGATGACGACGAGGCGGATGACGATGAGACGGCTGGTGGTGATGGTGATAATACGGACGAGGAGGAGTCAGGTGGCAGGGAAGGTGATGGAGCTGATGAGGGTGAAATTTGTAAGAAGTCAGCTGTGTACTTGCATTTGTTATCTCGTCCCGATTGTTTGAGTGTGTATGATGATTCCCACTTGTCTGTACTGTGTCGTGCCCGTTATGTCCAGCAGTTGAAGGACCTTGAAGCTGTTTGTATTCGTACGCATAAGCCCGATTTGTGTAAGCAAAAAGAACATGTTTTAGCACTTAGGTTATTTTCGTGAGTTTGCACCCCGTGTTCATGAGTTGTTTCTGCACTGTTCATGCCCGTTTGTCACACTTACTCTTTATTTTAGTTCTCACTTTTTGTAATACTTACCACAAGTTACCCGTCATGTGTCACACTTCTTTGGATTTTTAACCTTTGTTTTTTTCCCTTGATCTCTTAAGTTCCGTATTTCCACTCATGATCGGAGCGTGAAAATCGATTTTGGAAACACACAAAACCAAACCTTGAACAAATTGTCATGTTGCGTGGTGATGTCTGCGGCATTCATACTTTTCATAGCTATTATTAAACTTTCATCTCCACGTAGATTATTTGAATCTTCATAAGTTTGAGGAATTGAAAGGGGAGAAAACGCTTGGGAAAAATGACCCCCCCCCCCCCCCCCCCAGACTCTCACCAGGGACCTTTGCTTTAATCCAGCGACGCTCTAACCACTGAGCCATCTTGTAGCTGTCATCCAAGCAGCGACAGTTCAACATCTTCCTCAGACGTCGAAACTCATGCCCCCTGACTACACAGGCTGATGGGGCATAGCCCGCGTTGTGCACACGTGCTCCACACACAAGCGTGAACACGTGTGGCCCCGCTGCACCAACCACTGAGCAGCGGTGCCACACGTGCTCCACGCACAAGCGTGAACACGTGTGGCCCCACTGCATCAACCACTGAGCAGCGGTGCTACACGTGCTCCACGCACAAGCGTGAACACGTGTGGCCCCCTGCATCAACCACTGAGCAGCGGTGCTTCGAAAAAGGTTGAAAAAACGAACTGTGCACAGTTTTACTCGGCAAGGCTCCACAGTGAAACAGATGTCACGGTGCGCGTGAGACTCGACTGATGGATGAGTTTTCCGCATCCGTAGGAACGCCACCACCCTTCAAGGATCAAGGCGCATATGCAGCTCCTGAAGTTCACAGTAAAAAGGGGGGGGGGGGGTGTGAAATTACAGTAAAACCTATGAAGGCGACCACCTGTCCCCGAGGACCTCTACAACAAGGACCAAAGGATGTCGCCGGTACTTCCACACACACATGATCCTGGATAAGCAGGTTTCCTGTACCTCCACACACATGATCCTGGATAAGCAGGTTACCTGTACCTCCACACACATGATCCTGGATAAGCAGGTTTCCTGTACCTCCACACACATGATCCTGGATAAGCAGGTTACCTGTACCTCCACACACATGATCCTGGATAAGCAGGTTACCTGTACCTCCACACACATGATCCTGGATAAGCAGGTTTCCTGTACTTCCACACACATGATCCTGGATAAGCAGGTTTCCTGTACCTCCACACACATGATCCTGGATAAGCAGGTTTCCTGTACCTCCACACACATGATCCTGGATAAGCAGGTTTCCTGTACCTCCACACACATGATCCTGGATAAGCAGGTTTCCTGTACCTCCACACACATGATCCTGGATAAGCAGGTTTCCTGTACCTCCACACACATGATCCTGGATAAGCAGGTTTCCTGTACCTCCACACACATGATCCTGGATAAGCAGGTTACCTGTACCTCCACACACATGATCCTGGATAAGCAGGTTACCTGTACCTCCACACACATGATCCTGGATAAGCAGGTTTCCTGTACCTCCACACACATGATCCTGGATAAGCAGGTTACCTGTACTTCCACACACATGATCCTGGATAAGCAGGTTACCTGTACCTCCACACACATGATCCTGGATAAGCAGGTTTCCTGTACTTCCACACACATGATCCTGGATAAGCAGGTTTCCTGTACCTCCACACACATGATCCTGGATAAGCAGGTTTCCTGTACCTCCACACACATGATCCTGGATAAGCAGGTTTCCTGTACCTCCACACACATGATCCTGGATAAGCAGGTTACCTGTACCTCCACACACATGATCCTGGATAAGCAGGTTACCTGTACCTCCACACACATGATCCTGGATAAGCAGGTTACCTGTACCTCCACACACATGATCCTGGATAAGCAGGTTACCTGTACCTCCACACACATGATCCTGGATAAGCAGGTTTCCTGTACCTCCACACACATGATCCTGGATAAGCAGGTTACCTGTACCTCCACACACATGATCCTGGATAAGCAGGTTACCTGTACTTCCACACACATGATCCTGGATAAGCAGGTTACCTGTACCTCCACACACATGATCCTGGATAAGCAGGTTTCCTGTACTTCCACACACATGATCCTGGATAAGCAGGTTTCCTGTACCTCCACACACATGATCCTGGATAAGCAGGTTTCCTGTACCTCCACACACATGATCCTGGATAAGCAGGTTTCCTGTACCTCCACACACATGATCCTGGATAAGCAGGTTACCTGTACCTCCACACACATGATCCTGGATAAGCAGGTTACCTGTACCTCCACACACATGATCCTGGATAAGCAGGTTTCCTGTACCTCCACACACATGATCCTGGATAAGCAGGTTACCTGTACCTCCACACACATGATCCTGGATAAGCAGGTTACCTGTACCTCCACACACATGATCCTGGATAAGCAGGTTTCCTGTACTTGTACACAGCGACCACATTTCGGAGGTCCCTTGAGCAGTCGCCTTAGACAGCTTTGACAGTAGTGTAGTAAAAGATTGGTATCGCCGGTCTGGACTGGACTGGACTTCCCTCTGTACTACGTGCTACTGTAAACCGTGAAATTATTGCCATGGTCTAATTTCTTCGAAATTCGCGACCGCGTGGAAATCGCGAAATTTAAACAGCGCGAAAAGGAGATCCATGGAAGGTTTAGCAAGAATGCCACAGGTTTAGCAAGAATGCCATTCTGCAATTGCAAAATTAAAACCTCGCAAACCTGTCTGGATTCTGAAAACGCGAACTAAAAATGCCGCGAAAATTTCACGCTTTACGTGCTACTCTTGGTTCTGACTCTTCACCTACACAGCTCAGTCGCTAGATGCTTACTTATAGTTATACTCAATCTGCGGACAGAGCTGTTTCGTCCTTTGTGGACTCGTCAGCGCAGCACAGAGGAAATGAGGCCGAACCTGGTAGCAATAAAAAATAAATCTCTAAAGCCAGGCTTATAGTTATATCAATCAAGGCTCAATCGAAGAGAGAACAAGACGAGAACAGGACTGAACAAGACTAGAGAGTTAAACTCGCACAGGAAATACCACCCCGGTAGGGTCGAATGCATTGAACGCTCAAAGTGACCCTGCCTGCGAGGTAACGCACCATGGGGACGGATGAGCGGCACACTACAGTAAGAATCCCAAGGCCACTACCCCCATCTCGCCGAGTGGCGACACGTATGGATGACGGGTTCTGACCTTTTCTTTCCCTTGGTAGCGTTGTAGAGTATCTCGGCGCGAGACTCGGCCTCCGCAACGGAGAGGCGGTGATTGAACTGCAGCAAAAGCGAGGTGGCATGCTTCTTGCCTGCGCCGTAAATGCGAGCGTAGTTGAACGTCTGAGCAGCAGCGGAACCCAAACACAGGGGAGAATGAACCGTTAGCCTCCACAATCAGACGGTGGAGATATCCACGCAATATGGTCACCAGAACCAGTACAAAACATAATGTGCATTTGCGCTGAGTGAAATCCGACCCAAAGTGCAAAACTGGCGCCCATGTACCAGTTCCGATTACATCAATATAGTTGTACACGTGTAGGTCCTGCCACATCCGTGCCACTTCCAGGGCATCAAGGACGGTGCAAAACGAGTGCGCCAAATGTGCACCCAGGGTGGGATTTCACCGAGTGCCGCAACAGTCGTGTATGTATAGTGAGTGCACTGCAAGGAAGTGTACTGTTAACTTGTGTTGAGGACCACTTGTAAACACTTCCATGCCTCCAAACAGGCTCTCAACAGTACAATGTATAGTGAGTGCACTGCAAGGAAGTGTACTGTTAACTCGTGTTGAGGACCACTTGTAAATACTTCCATGCCTCCAAACAGGCTCTCAATAGTACAATGGGCGCTTTCGATTACACGCATTTCGGTCAATTCTAGAATTACCGTATTTTCCGGGGTATAAGCCGCACCGGGGTATAAGCCGCACCCCCCTTTTTGAGGCAAAATATTGACTAAAAGTTGGTATTCGGAGTATAAGCCGCACCCACAAACCAAGATTTTTCACACTCATTGACAAATGGCCTTTCTACAAATTTATTATGGTTATGAAGCTAAATACCATGTTAGATCAGATTATGAAAAATAGAGTCCCCGTATACGCGTACCGTATGGTGTAGCCCGCGCACTAAAACTAGTAAAAGTGCCGGGATAGCAACACAGGCGCGAAGCTGAGTCGAATGACATGTCACATGACGTCAGCATGCATTCATTCGCGCAAGCATATCCGGTGTATAAGCCGCAGGGGCGATTTTGGTCCGATTTTTAGCGAAAAAAAGTGCGGCTTATACCCCGGAAAATACGGTAGTTATTGTTGATGCACAGTTCGATTACACAAAAAGTGACAAATTCCGTCGTTAGAATTGATTTTATCCAATTCCGTCGAATCCGTCAATTCTGAAGAGAGGGCGGAATTTCTCTAATTCTGGTGCCAGAATTGCACAGTCGGTGTGTTACCGGTCTGGTCATGACTCAAGCGTGCGCGAAGAGCCTCCCTGGCCGGCGTGTGCGCGATGCTGCTATTGCTGGGTCCACGTGCGCGCGAGGGTGTACGTGATCTCTTTTTACGATTCATCAATTTTGTTTGTGACATGACATGAATAAAATGCGTTGTGAATTCCAGTCGTTCGTTTACAAGGCTCGAATCCGCTCATTCTGGTCATTCCAGAATTAAAAAAACCAGTTCCAGAATTGTGTAAACGTGTAATCGAAAGCGCCTAATGTATAGTGAGTGCACTGCAAGTGCATGTACATGTACTATTAAGCACCACTTGTAAACACTTCCATGCCTCTGAACAGGTTCCCAACTGCACAAAATTAATGAATAAAAGTAAACACACGACGAGGAGACAATTATTTGATAACCGCAATCAATAAAATTCGCTTTGATTGTTAAAATTCACACTTGTAAATTTCACTGCTGTTGTTCTTAGTGTTATTTCTCTAACTTAGATTTTCTATAATAGTTCAATTTTTGTTTCAGTGTCCTTTAGTACAACGACGATTCCTGATGAGTGTTGTACGAAAACTTGTTTGAATCCATCATTTTTTCTCTTCACCATTTCTTCATATTTTCATCGTTATATTGCACATCGTCTCCACCGTTTTTACATTGCATGAATAAAGTACACAAATGTCGGTTCAGCTAATTTTATTGATTGGGGTTATCAAATAAAAGTACTGCCAATGTTTTGCCAATCGGGCACCACCAGGGCAAATCAGTGGAAGGGAAAGCGCTGCAGCGGAGTTGGAGAGCTCTTAGGAACCGTTGACTACCGTTGAAAGAATCGACGACGATTACAGTCAGACCTCGCTTATCCGGTCCTCTTTTATCCGGATCCCTCGCCATCCGGAAGAGAATCGTTGGTTACCGACTTACAGCATATGTCATGCATACATACAGTACGTGTGTTCGCTTATCCGGTTCCCTCGCCTATCCGGATATTTTTGTGGAAAACGGATGTGTGCGGTTAAGCGAGGTCTCACTCTACTACTAGTAAGTTGCAGTTGAATAGGGAGGTTAAGACGCACGTTATTTCTGACGTGACGCGAAAGTTCAGCTCGCGTTAGTTGGCTCGCACGTCGAAAAATCAACGCGAGTGACCTGCTGCTCACGTCGAAATTTGGAGTTTTACGCCAAATTTGACGTGAAATTGCGCGTCACGACGGAAATAACGTGCATCTTAACCTCTCAAATAATTTGATTTTGCCTGTATTTCGCCCGATGATAAGGCATGAAAGTACCGTATTTCCCCGAATATAAGTCGCACCTTTTTGCCCAAACAAC